AAATAGCAGTGATTTTGTTTGATTTGGGTCAATTGACCCAGTCAGTCTTTCTAGTGTTAACATACCGTTCACACTGGCCTCAAGATCAAACTTCAGCTTCAGCACTTGATTTCCCGGTCGCACTTCCTGTTGTGGCTGAGCGTGCACATGACGTCAGTGGCTGAGCGTGCAGATGGCTGAGAGTGCACATTCGGAGTGGCTGCAGCCAGACCCTTTTGAAAAATCCAGACCAGGATTTTGTTTCAACCAACCAGCACAGCATAAAGAGTCACAGTCATATAGTACTCAACTGGTTGGTTGACACAAAATCCTGGTCTGAATTTTTTTCTTTCTGGACCTGAAGTGTTCTCCTTTTAGTATTTATACCTATGCTGCTTATAGACAAATGCCTTGCGATGCAACCGGTGCAAGATCGCTGTAAAGTGCTCCCCATTTAATCTCCTGATGATCCTAGTGAATCCATTTCAAGTTATATGTGACATAGTGACCCTAAATGGATCTGTTCTTCCACGTGTCAGTAACGTGGCAGTGTGGCAGCTGACGGTAAAATCGATCAAAGGAACCACATCTACTGGAACTTTCAGTTGATGTAATTTTATTTGTCATTCACTTTAAATGTTCTGAAATTCACCTTTAAAAAGTACAGTAGGGCTGCTTTTCCTTGCCCCATAAATGTTACTCTCCCTGTTTGTCTCTGTCCCTGGTGTTCCTCTTTCCTCTCCCCAACAGAAAACCCAAGTGACATCTGCAGTATCCCAAAATGGCACCATGGCCACAGCAGCTGTTGAAGGTGACACGTGACACCCCCTCCTTAAGCTTTTTGTGTGGTCCCTGCAAAACCCCGCCCCCCGGGACAGAAATGGCCAGCTGTATAAATGACATGTCCTGCCCTGGAAACTTATCAGAGCCGAGCACAGCTCAGTGTCTTGAGTAACTTTGCCATTCTTAAGCTATAAGCCTTCATCTGCCCTCCTTTCATTCTTGAATTTTGGTCCTGAGCAGCTCTGGAGAAGTTGCTGATGATTTAGGCATGAGAGAAAGGCAAGAATGTTATAGTGCACATTCAGATATTTACAGTCACATATCAGTCACAATGTCTGCTATGGACATAGATGAAACAACAAACTGACTTTACGCCAGTTTCCTGGCGTGACATTATGACTTGTGATCATGTGCAAATTCCAATATTTCCAGTTACATATTCAGCTATAGACACAGATGAAACGAGAAACTGACTTTACACCGGTTTCTCTAGTGCAGAGGTCACATCATGACTCATGGCTATAATAGATCGTGTCAGGAAGCAGTGCTGTAAACAGCTGAGAATGTTTTTTGTAAGAAGTGAAGGTATGTAGTTATCAGGGGCAGACTGACAACTAAAAGCAGCCGGGTATCCCTTGCCGATTGTGATCAACCAGTTGGCCACCAATGAAATAAAGCATTATCATTAATCATTCATTAAATTGTCCATTAATTATCTATTTAATCATCTATAAAAATCCCCCGAGATCGATGAACAGGTTGGGGAAAAAAAACGGCCCTTGCAAGACTGGCCCACTGGGAAAATTCCCAGTCTTCAATATAGTCAGTCCGTACCTGGTGGTTTTCTTTAATAAACAGAAAATGACAAGCTAGCAGTACTGTAGCAAATGAAATTTCAAATAAAATGATTTTTGATAAATTTTTTATGAGTGATCATATTCACTTTTATTAATGCTGCCTGTGTAGTGGCTCAGTGGGCAGTACTGTTGCCTCACACCTCCTAGGTTGGGGGTACAAATCCCAGCCCCTGTGGTGTGTGTGGAGTTTGCGGGTCATGCAAATTTCCTCATGCTGTTCAAAGTCTTGCATTTAGGCTAATGTGTGTCCCTTAGTTGTCAATGTGTATATGTATGCACACATGCCCTTTGATGGACAGACACCCCATCCAGGGTGTACCCTGGCTATGCTGCCTGGGAAGGACTCCAGGTCCTTAACCGTGACCCTGACCAGGAAAAATGGTGGGAAGATGGATGGAGGAAAGGATAATGTTTCATGTCCATGTTTCATGTATTGGTTTCCTCCTCCCAGCTCTGTGTGTGTGGATTTTGGATGTTCTACCTGTATTTGTGTGGGATTATTCCAGATACTCCAGTTTCCTCCTGCAATCCAAGAACATGTGGAGGTGAACTGATGTTTCAAAAATTGCCCTTTGTGCAGGATTATGTGTATGTGAGAGAGTGTCTACTGTGATGGACGGGCCAGTGTGTCCCCTGCCTTGTGCCCTGTGCTGCCTGGGATTGGCTCCAGGCTCACCCTGACCCTGTCCTGGATAAGCAGTCATGGAAAATGGATGGATGGATGGATTCTGTTATTTAACTTGTATTAATCTTGTTTTTCCCAGATCTGTCTTTTGGCACTGGCTTTTCCCCTGGGATGAGAACATTTAAAAGCAGTAATGTATATTTCTTCTTAGTCTTTGGTTACGTCAGGGTGAAGGGGAAAAAAAATAACAAACCTTTGATAAGTTGCATCCCTAAATAGGGTTGGATACTATAATGTTTGAACTCGTCAAACTGTATCGACCATCACAATCTACTCACAGCATGTGTTTGCTGCCGGTAGGATTCCACTGAAATGCGTGCATATCTCCATGCTGCACACACATGTTGACACTGTCTCTTTTTATCTCATTTGTAGGTAGACAGAGTAAAATGCATGCATTCCTATTAGCGTATACATGGCTTTAAAATTTTTCACTTCCAACACATTTTGTTCAAAAACACCTATACTTACCACATTTGTGACTTCATGTATTCTGTTTTATTCCACCATTGCAAGATTTGGGTCCAGAACAAGTTGAAAACAGAGCTGCCTGAATTGTGCCCGATTCAGTTTTGGTGACACAGACCAAACCGGTACACAATGCAGAAAAAAGCTAACTGGAAAAAAAACAATTTGTCGTGGGATTCTTTTAAATAATGAGCAATGTAAGTAGATGTAAGTTCTATATAGGCTTAATTTATAGCAAGCCTATGTTGGATGCAATTGTCAACATAATTTTCCCATATCTCTGATAGGTTAATTTATGCTAGATAAACGATAAAAACTTAATCTACGTTTGACCTAACGTAAAATTTTGTCTGATAAAATAACGCTATAAATCTATGAATGTGTCCTCACATAATATGTAACATTACAGTATACTGGGGCTCAGTAAATTTAAATTTGCAACTTGCTTGTTATTTATGCTATTGTCTAATAGACCATTTCTGGGTTATTGGCAATTCCATACCAGACAGCACTGTAACATTGTATGTACAGTATATCAACCAGTGTTAATCAAAATAAAATCACATATAAAATCACGCCGAATACCTCATCAAGCATGGTAGTATAAGGTTAAGAGTTGAGACCTTTTGCTCACTGTTTGGTTCCCCCCACTTCAAAAATCTCTCCTGCGCCCCTGGGTTATGTCTAAGATCTATACTGATTAATGTGAATTGAGATACCCCACAGGTGGGTAGTTATTTGCTGGTTATGCTTTTCTGTTTTTGTGCTGTATTCCCAGCAGTGAGAGGCACCCTGTGACTGCTCTCTAAGTGGGGCATGAGCACACAGACCTTTTTTTCTAGTCCATAAGCACATACATGGACTTCCTTGCTATAAGCAGTCATTCTGATGGGAATGAAAGTTGGTTGATTTTGGGGGTTTGTGTGTGTTAGCGTGATTTCTGACATCCCACGTCGAAGGGGTGGCCAGCTCGCTGGAACTGACACCCGGCCACGCAGTGCACTATAACGCAGCTGACAGGTGTGCACTCTTCCTCCTGCATTAACCCCCCCCTCAGCCCCATCCCCCTGAGGGGAAGGCAGCATAGCCAATGAGACCTGGTGGCAGTGGTGACGAGGTCACTGGGCCCCATGGGGGTATATATAGTGAAAGAGGCGATTTAGCACTTCTGAGCTGTTGGAGAACTCCCTGCCTCGCCTCGCAGTGGCGTTGGCTTTGTGGCAGGAGAAAGCAAAACTGCACGGCTCCCCGCTTCATGTGGTTTTGTTTGGAGGCTCGCCCATTCTCACTTGGGATTTTCTGAGAGAAAGCCCAGATCAGGAGATAACGTCTCTATATGTACACATCATCAGGGCTCTGTCCCTGCTTCCCTGGGCCACCTTGTGAAGACAAGTAAGTAATGCTGGGGGTGTGTGATTTGACACTTCTCCTTTGTTTATCAGCGACAGCAGCATGTGTACGTGGGCCTTTAGTGACATTGAAAAGCGACGGTGAGCAGTAAGTTTTTATTGGTCTAATGCAGCCGGTCTGGGCAGAAGTCCTTGCAGTACTGGCCTGCTTATTGTCTGATAATTCTCCGCAAAATAGGAAACACGTTGACACCTTTCACAAGCATTTTGCTACAGTGTGACTGGGGAAAACCCGAGAATAGCTCTTGGTAGCACTCGCCTGCGAAGTCCTGTGGGTTCTGATGTCTTTTTAAGGGAATCGGTGAGGGGGGTATCAGATGCACCTCCAGCTATGTGTCATGTGGTGATTGTCAATCACGATCTCTCCAGATTATTTTTGGAGTCATCCATTTTGGTCATTCAGCAGAAATCCTTTCAGACATGTACATGGTTTGGTAATGTTTTTATTTGGCATGTAGCATTGAAAAACATCATGTTCTCAGCATTTTTTTTTTACGTGAATAAGTCTGTTGTGGAGGTGGCCGTACCTACATGTACTGCTCTTGTTCACATGCTGAGTGAGAAGCTGCAGGTTTTTCTAAAAGGTTATTTTTTAAATGAGGCACCGTGGGTCATATGAATGAGTATATCTTTAAATGCGCAAATATTATTTCTCTGGAATTCCCTTTAGGTTGTTTATTAATATAACTGTTTTGTTTGTGGTTCATTAGTTTTTGATACAAATTAGATTTTTATGTTGTCTATCATTTTGATATTATATTTAATATGCAACTTTAAAAAAATCAGAATGGGTGATTTGATAACTCCTGGGCATTTTTCAGTTGTGTCTTTTTGGCTGCTTACTGTCCATTCAACAACAGATTACTTCAAGAATGGGAAGTGTCTGTTTTCGAAATGCTATTCAGCAGAATAATAGGTAGCAAGGTGGTGTAATCGAGTCCTGTTACAGACTTACAGAATTGGAGAAGCAGCACTGCAGAGCAAACACCGGCGATTTTATTAAAGAAAACCAAACATAGATTTATAGGAGTTTACTTTTGAACCACTTTGACAATACGTTTTGCAGTTGACAGTAAAATAAGAAGGCAGTCCTGCCTTAAAAACTGATTAGATGGTAACGTTAAATTGTCTGGTCACTTGTTTGTTATATCATAATTCCAGGGTTTCTTACAAAGTGGCCAAGTAAAGCAGGTGCTTGTCTAAACATGTGAATTTGTATAGTTGCCATGAGTCATGACCCTGTGCATTTTGGCTGAGGTGTCACAGTAACCCAGTGAATGAATGTCACCCCCTTCCTCCACACCTGATTCTCAGTATGCTACTACACAGTGCTTGAAGTGGGAAAAAATAAGTGCAGGAACTCTAATTTTCTCGGGCCACTGTCGCTGCGTCGGATCAGTTTCAGTAAGTACCGGAACGCAGAAAAAAGTGGCGGAACCCAAAAGACGAAAATACAGAAGTTCCGGAACTGTGTTCCGCTGCGTTCCGGCCCACTTCAAGCACTGCTACTACATATTCAGCTCTATGTATATAGAGGGTTGTTGACTGTACATATATCATTGTTAGTGAATAAAATCTTTAATACATCAGTGGATCATACAGAGAGACTGGAATTGTCATGATGTAATGATGTTGAAAAGACTTTAGTTATTTTGATATTTTGAAGCTGATAATTACCAATTTATACTCTTAAATGTGTTTGTTTATATTTTACCACATTTATAAATAAAAACAAATACCTCCCATTACACAAAATGGTACATTTGTCTTCTGTATACAGTACATAAGCCTCCATTTCAGCAATGTGTAATATGGCTGATAATTCTTTAAATAAACATACATTCTTACCAAAGTAAATTTTATGGTCCTATTTCACTTGGTGCACAAAGCAGGTCTTTGGTAACAGTTTTACAGCCCCAGTTGTGCTTGCGGTGGGAGTTTCCCTCCTTGTATTCATCCATTTGTCCATCCATCCACTCATGCATTAATTTTTCACTACCTCATTCATTGCAGTATTCATCCTGTCCCAGTAGGGGTCTCCTCTTCATAGGGTAGAAAAAGTACCTCCAGCCATTAGTAACATTTCTCAAGCCAGGAAACACATAGACAGACAATCACCAGCGAATCAAATTCTTCTAATGCATTACTTTGTGACTCCCTCCTTTGTCTCTAGGGTGCCTACTATCATGTCAATGAAGGCATCAGGAAATACACAGAGTGTTGTGGCACTTGAGGGTGGTGCTGCAGCGCTTGAGGTTGGAGCTGGTGGTAAGAAGTCATGTCTGTTATCTAAATAAAATCCATTCACTCACATGCAATAAACTCAAAAGGACAAATGTCCATTGTACATAATGTAAGGTAAGCATTGTGCCTTTATTTAATGGTGAGTGGGTCTGTGTGCAAGCAGATGGCGCAGTCCCCGAGGTGAGCTGGCTAAGTGATGGCCAGGTCCTCTCTGATGTGCAGATCTCAGGCAGCGATGGCCGCGCTGCACTGACAATCCCCGCTATGTCAGCCATGCACAGCCAAGTCACCGTCACAGGTAAGAATCACCCAGTGACAAAAGAAAAGTGTGGAGAACATGGTGAACATAGGTCATATTGTTTTGGACTTGTAAAGTGGTTTGTGTGTTAGCAGTTGGTTTTGTGTATCACTCATTTTGATGTCTTTGCTTTTAGAAGAAACTGCTGTATCTGCTACCAAGACAGAGGCTGTGGAGGTATGGAAATTCCTCAGGGCTCCAAGCAGTCTGACTCAATACTCCCTCCTGGTGGTCAGACAGCATGTCTGCCTGTATCTCATTGAGTGGTAGAGTTATGTTACAGAACCCTTGGAGCTGTTCTGTGTTTTGGATGTAGGCAAAGCATCCTGTGTCTCTGTTGCACTCTTTTCTTCCTCTTGTTGGATGCAGGACATTGAGGCCATATCTAAGACAATCCTACCCAAACAGCAGGGTCAGTGTGATGTGTGATAGCCAGCACTGGAGCTCCCGTTCTAGTCCCCCTGGCCACACCTTATTCCACTTTAACAGCCATAACTGGCCTTTGTTCTGAACCTCTGATCTCATCTCCTCATTCGCTTCTCAGTTTATTCATCACCGTTTGGTGTTTGATCTGTTCCTCTTCTTACAATCTTGTTATTGCTCACATGGTGCAGATAAGGCAGAATGCAGGTAGACAGACAGTATCAATCTTAGAGAAGTGACCTCTATTTCAGGAACATAACTACAGACCCCACTCTCAGAACAGGTATATGTCCATCTATCTCACCAGCATCCAGTTTAAATCCATCTCCAGGCATCTCCTGATGCATCATGGTGATATCGTGAGTATGTGCATAAGTGTCAAATGATTAAAACATTTGCCATTAACTAGGACTGGGCAATAAAACTATAATAATAATTATCACAATGTAATTTCCTTGGTGCCGATATGGCAAACACTTGATGAAGTTTTGGTGTGAAATAAAACCTCTTTCTCTGTGAGTGCTTGTCAGCACCAGCCATGGAGCACAAGCAGAGACACAGCCGTAAAATCACAAATGGAGATTTTATTGAACAAATAACAGAATGCAATAGGGCAGGCAAAGAGATGAAAGACAACACAGTTAAAATAACAGGGCAACTCACCAAGAGAGCAGGTAGTCCAAAGCAACCCTTCTAATAAGGGAAATCCAGTGAAATCCAAAATGAAAGTGCCCAGTAAAATTCACTCCACAGGAAAATCCACACAATAATAATCTACAGTGAATTCAGAATGCTAGCAAAAGCATGTCAGTGCCGACTAAACCTGGCCTGCTGCCAATCACAGTGTTTTGATGATATACATCCTAGCTACTGTACAATAAACACGTAGCAAGGTGTATTGAGTTAATAGAGCACCCCAGATACTATGCTTCTGGTACTATAAAAGCACTCCCTCACAAGAAACTTTTGTGTTGGTGTCTTTTTCAAGGGAGATATTGTGGATAAACCAGGTACAAAGATGTTGCTGGTGTGGCAGTACTTTGGCAAGTTAAAGAAGTCAATGACACGCAACAGAGTGCTGTTGTGTATTATTATCCAGAGCATGTGAGCGGAGCGGAGCGGTGAGAATTTCCGCTCCTCGCTCACGAGGCTGTTGGCTCCGCCCGCTCCTCCGCTCTAATTCGCACTAAGCCGCTCCGCTCAACACCGCTCCTCGCTCCACTAAAACGTCCTCCCGCTCCAGTCAAATCGCTCCACGCTCGCTCCAATTTAAAAGAGGGACAAATAATCTGCATGCCTAACAAATGTCACCTTAAACCGAAGCCTTATGTCATAAAGAAATATGAGCAACGGCAACATTGCCAGTCAGAACAGAAAATATTTATTTTTAAGCAACCTATCGGCAACAACGGACAGGTTTGGAAATGGCATTCCACACAAAAATAGGTTTAAAAATAAAGGAATCAGTGGGCTTAATAGCCTAAAGAATATACAGACACGTTTTAAATTCCTCAATTTTTTTCTTTTGATGCAGCGCGTCTCTAAAATAACATTTTACGTTACGTGAAATTTAAAAAAAAATCTTATTAGACCTACTTTGAATGACAAAACGAATTTATTTGATTACCAATATGTACTTTATAGGCTTTTATACTTTAATTTACTTTATAGACTTGATATGCTACAACCATATAAAACTTGCACGCGTTTTGCTCTGGCTTCCGCTTGTTCGCGTAGCACACTCATGTTTCTGAGAAAAGTGATTCCAAAGTGAATCTTTACTCACTGAAACAGTTTCACCACATTGTTGTTCTTGCTGTACATTCTTGTCATCTATACGTTTGATAAGAATAATACACTTGTATGATTTATCAGTTTCCTTTGTGAAATACTTTGTGAATTCCATTTCGGCCAATTTGTGTAACAGTCTTGATAATTGTACAGATGAATTCTGGGTAGATTTGGGCACGGCTCAGAATTGTAGTGTGAGCGGTATCGGAGCGAAATTGGAGCGAGACAAAGCGACCGCTCCAGCCTTAATTAAAAAACCGCTCCGCGCTCTGACCAAATTCTGCCCGCTCCGCTCCTCGCTCACGCTCCGCTCCGCTCCGCTCACATGCTCTGTTATTATCTCTGTTGAAAACTTGTGCCAACTAAAACTGGAAATACTATTAATTTATTTCACCACTAGAAGCATTGCCATCCAATAGAACATAAAGAATGCAAGCGCTTATAGTCACAGACACCAACAATTAGCATTTCAACTTTCAGTCACATACCATATTGGTCAAAATAACGATGCAGCATTTTATTTTTCAATACCAGAAGGGTGGCAACTCTACTAGCAATATTCAACTCAACTCCTGTAACTAGCAGCCAGGCAATCAAAGTAAAATACCCGGCAATAAACTTTACTGTCGGTGTATTACTGGTATTGCGCCACATAGCAAAAAAAAATGCTGTATGATTATTTAATAAAATAAATTTCTGTTTGCAGTCCTTGCAATATCTCCTCTTTTTAATGTTCTTTTTAAGGAGAATCTTAAGGAAATTTTAGGCATAAATGTAGCTTCAAATTAAGGAAATATTGAACTGTAATTAAAAATAATTTATTAATTATATTGTGATAATTATGGAAATCGACTGATATGAAAAAATATATTGCAATGACTTTTTTTGCCATATTGCCCAGCCCTACCATTAACACATCACATTAAACAACTGAAGCTTTTGTTCTATGGCACTGCAAATTTTATTTTACTAGGTTGTTAAATGTAACAATACTTGGTGATTGTCTAATTTGTAGTATATCCTCATGGTTACAACAGCTAATAACTTACTAGCAAAGAGTAAATTTTAACAAGAAATTAACTAGTAGTGATCCCAACTACAACCCCTCCATCTTCAAAAAGTTTACCTTGTACATGGTCACAGTATTAGCTTGGAGACTACTGCACACGGCCCGGAGTACAAGGCAAGGACCACCCTGCAGAGGGCGATATTTGTTCGCACTGATGCACACACTCGAACTCTCAGGATGATTCAGAGATACCAATTCACCTGACTTTCTCTTTTAAGGTTTCGGGATAGAGTATTCATACCTCCTAAATTACCCATGTGTTCAAAATAACCACTGAAATTAGGATGAGCCGAAATGGAGAAAAGCTCTATTACAACCTTAAGGCCATTCCAAGCCAAAGCCAATGCTATGATAGGAGATCTTCTCTAGTAGTGATGGCTTATGTTCTGACATGCATCTAGTACCCCGAGTCATGTATTCATGATGTTGTTCCAGGAATACTCTTTGTCTGAAAGGTGCAGTGGTGGCTCGGCTGGAGGTGCCCCTTTGTCACTGCCCAGGCGTGACCATCACAATCACCCCAGTCAAACCTTTAATGCATCGGTGGCACCACGTCCCCTGTGTGGCTGTACTGTGGAGTGACTGAACATCGCACATGTGGAGTAGAGGAATCTAGAAATACCAGTGATCCCACTCCTCTATGTTCACTGGATGCGATCATTTGTCCCTCACTGCTGAATTAGATTCATTTGTCTTCTCTAGGGAAGGTGTGGGTGAAACATCTGCTCTGCTCACATGCAGAAAATGTACTACCTGCCATCAGTCATGTTCCATGTTGGAACCTAACTGTTGTCCAGTTGAATCCCCCACCTCAGGATCTTTCTCAGCCCTGCACTAGAGTTATAGGACTGCTCAGCCACAAGATGTGCTCTGCTTTTCAGTGTAGATTCCTTCCACAGCAAGGTGGAGGCCTCCATTGTTGAAGGATGCAGCAGATTGATGGCCAGGAGTGTCAGGATCATATTTCTGTGCCTTAGCAGCTGTCAAAGAATCAGCCTGTTTTGGGTACATGTCAGAGTATGTTCCTGTCTGACACGCAGCCTTTTTTAGAGACCTGTATAGTTTTATAATGTAGTCCTTGACTAAAATCCTTCCTGTTGCTCTGTTTAAACCCAGCTAAGCTGGATGGTGTACCTGAATCACTCCATAGTATTTATTGTCTTTCAGAAATAATACTCCTTCCTTTCTGATACACCTGATAATTTACTGTAATCTTACGCCGCCTGATCAAAACAGTCATTTTGTACTGTTTTCTTCTAGTTATATGAATGAGACTCAATCCACATGTCTTGCAGTGCAGATCAGTAGGGTGTCATCCCCATGATGGTGGAAATTATTGGACATGTACATACTGTTGTTGCATTTTCTTTTTGCCTGCTTTGGTCTAGGGAGCCATGAAGCAGGTAAATGCTCTGCAGATATCTCAGGGTTCCTCCCCACAGGTCTAACCTCTTCCTCATGGTCCTCGTGGGCTTGACAGCTGTTTAACCAGAGCAGAGCCTAGGGCTTGTACCCATCCTCTGTAAACATCACCACCACCATTAAGGGTCCTACCTCCTCATTCCTTTTTACTTTACCAATCTGTCTGCCATTGAATAAAACAACATGAGATGATTTCTAAGAGACATCACACATTTTGTAGGTTGCAGAGAAAGCTTTAACCCAGCCAACCACAGAAGAGGCAGTGGTACATCCTACTTTCCTGATTGTAAGTGTTTTTTGTGGTAAATCATCTTTACATTTCTGCCATGATCATTTCAAGGATTACATATTAAGATAATTTATGTTTCCAGGGTTTGGATGACATGACCATCACTGAGGGAGAATCTGTGACTCTGGAATGTCAGATTTCTGGCAGCCCCATCCCCAGTGTGATGTGGTTCCACAAAGAGTACAAGATCGAGAGCTCCTATAACTTCTGCCTTTCATACAAGAGTGGATGTGCCCGCCTGGTGATCCATGAGGCCTTTGCTGAGGACAGCGGCCAGTTCACTTGCACTGCAAGCAGTCAAGCTGGCACTGTGAGCACCTCCTGCTTCATCACTGTCAATGGTAATTACTCTGTATTTTTATCCCTTTTTAGTTAATCCACTGGGAAATATTTTCCATATTGCTGATAATGGACTGGAATGCAAGTGCTGGCTGTTTTGTGTTGGTCAGGGGAATATGAAGATGATAAGAAGAAGCATGGGATGACTTTGAAGACAGAGAAGACTGAGGCAATGCATGATCCCCATACTGAAGATATTGAGAAACACATAGGAGCGGAAGAGCCCCTAGTAGTAAAAACCTTTCACCCAAAGCCTCTGTGGAGGTCCCCACAAACAGTTTTAAGTTTGTTGTCCGATGATAGCAGTTTTGTAAATACGCTTGATCGCATGTCACTGGGTGACTCCCTGGGACTGGAAGGGCTTGTGGAGGGAGACACGCTGGTGGCCCCAATCTGGACCAGGGTGGGTCGGAAGCTTATTTTCAACCTGGATTATCAGATCTCCCCGGTAGATCTGAAGACTGGCCCTCTCAGAGGTCAGACTGGCAGACTGGAGGATACAGAGGCATGTGCTGACATTCCAATCAGTGAGCCTAGAAGTAAATTTGACTCATGTGCGTTTAGGGCCCCAGGTAAGGACAGTGTTTTTGTATGTTTCTGATATGTTTGGGAATTAGTTATTGCCTATATGTGAAGATGTGTGTGGAACAGACAGCAAGCCTCTTCATCAAACCCTTACAGTATCATAATTTATCTTAATAATTTTAGAAATTGAGAATTTGATCTTCAGAGTTCCCTAGAGGAATTATAATAATTACAGATTGTTATATCAATAGTGATGCACAAGTTACCAGTCATTTGGTTGGTTGGGTTCATCTTCATCGGCAGTTATTAGTAATTATGGGGTCTGTTGTCAGTAGTAGAATAGAGGATAGTGTATAAAGGAGGCTTTAGCAGAACGTCAGCCGTACATGTCAAAGGTCTGCTGTTCTTGAAATGAAGGAACCTGCAGTAGATCAATCTCCTGTCTGCTGATCCTTCATAATCTACTCATTCAGTGGAGGAAACCCCACAACTTCTGGTGGTCACTTCCCTGTGTACTCACATGGTGGACAGTTAACTTCTGATTACCATATAGTCTGTCTTCCATTTTTATCCAATTAAGGTGGAACCAAAGGCCCTGTTTCAGCACCTGGACCAGAACCGAAAGGTATGTGGTCACACAGCTGCCTGATAACTGCAGACACAGTGTGGAACTTACAGTCTGCTCTGTGGTTCGCTATCACTGTGTATCCGACAGCTTAACGACTATCAGCGGATTCCTGCTGTGTTTCCTGTGTCCTGTGCTGTTCTGTGTGAGTGTTTGAATTATTTTCTTATGTTGTGTAGAACAAATAGTGCAAAGTGAATTCTTAAATAAACTGGTACATTTTATTTTGAGGCCAACAAAATATCTATCCTCCCACCCATCTTCTGCTTATCCTGAAATCGGTCACAGGGAAATTGAGTAATTATGTGCAGAAGATGAAGAAGAATGTTGACGGTTCCTGAGTAAGCAGGACACGAAAAATTGGGAGGGGCTGGGCCCAACTGCAGAGGAGAAGCCGGTCCATAGGTGGTCCTGCTGAATTTAACACCAACGTTATATATAACAAATTGTCAAACCATGAACAATACTCCCCCAGCCAGTTTGAAATTGAGAAATACTGGTATATTATTGGTGAAATTACTCTCTGGGATTTTTCTGCCATATTGAGAGGGGCCAGATTCTCTGAAGTTATTTTTCCTATAAAAAGAGTGAAAGATGGTTCCAGGATTTTTCATTTTGATGAAGATTAAGGAACAACGTATTTATTTAAAAGCTCAAGACTCAAGAAGGTACATGTCACCAAAATGTTACTCAAAAGGCTGAGAAATGCTATCCAGGGTGTCTGAGGCCTTGTGCCTTATTCTTGTAGCACCAGCAGGGGTCAGCATATCCCAGCATGCTCACCGGCAATTGTAAATAGCCTCTGTCAGTAACTAAAAATAGCCTGTGTTGTACTGTTGTTGTATCCCTAGTGTCGCATGAGTGTTTGCCTGTGCCTTTGTGTATCCTGTCCGATCGTCACGTGTTCTTAACTTGTATAAATCTCCCACTGTTTGGGTACCTTACAGTTTGGCATCTGACCACCTTGTGTTTCCACTGTGTATATTTGGGTTCAGTGCTTTTTGGGTGCCTGCTACAGTCCTGTTCAGAACTATAATAAAGAGCATGTTTTGTCCTGGCAAGCAAGTCTCCTCATTCTTCACCACTCTTGTGATGCCTCGGTCCACCTGGCGCTACATTCGTGTCAGAAGTGGGATGCTGGAAGTGACCCCACTGGCACTGCTGGAGCAGGCGCTTTACAACATCATCCAGCAAGCCTGCTCCAGCAGTGCCAGTGGGGTCACTTTCAGCAAGCTTGGTGGACCTCAAGGTGGCTGAGAAGTGATGGCACATGAGGAGGTCAAAGAGGGACGTGAAGCTCGTGCTGCTGGAGAGAAGGGCACTGGGCACGCTACTGCTCAGAAGCCCTCACCAGAGCCTCTGACAGACAAGCAGGAGATGCTGGAGTGAGGAAGGCACTCTCCACTCCATCCAGGATGCACCTGATCCACAAAGCACACAATGAAGCCATTCCTACCAGCTTGCCGGACTCACATTGGAGACGGTGATGTTGTCGAGCAAGGAAGGAGGGCTCTCCTGTGGACTCTGGCCACTCATCTGTATCTGAGTGCTCCAAGCTTCTCTGCGTGAGCACAAGGAGACGTGCTGCAGCTGGGAGGCCCAGTTAGCTTGGGAATGGCGTAAGCTTGACAAGCAGCAGTGGGACCATCAGGACTAGGAGCTGGCCCAGATGTGCCACAAGCTGTTGGAGGTGGAGACCTAGCACATGAAGAAAATCCATGAGCGGTGCGGGGAGGAGGCCTGCCTCCAAGAGGCCATCCACCGGAAGCAGGAGCAGCTCTGCAGGGCCGTCCTGCTGCACAACATCAGGACGGGGGGGCGGGCCCAAGAGGAAGCTGCACTGCAGCACAACCACAGCAGCCTTTTGCACTGGCTGTCCCCAGAGAAGGGGGGTAGCCAGGGAGACCCCCTGGAAGAGGCATCAGGTCCCCTTAAGGCACACAAGAGGAAGGGTCAGTGCCCGCCAGCTGCTGAGCCTCGCCGTCGCACATGAGGTCTGGAAATGACGTCCACCCCCCCTTCATCGGCGACACTGGTGGCTGCCACTAGATCCGTGGGACTTGCTTCAGAACTGAGGTGGGGACTGGGGGTGCTGGTTGCCAGGATGGTCAGCCTTTGAGGTGGCGGGAGTCAGCATATCCCGACATGCAATTATAAATAGTGTTTGCCTGTGTCTTGTGAATACCCTGTCCAATCCTAGCTTGTATAAATCTCCCACCATGTGTGCACCTAACAGTTCGGCATCTGATCATCCTGTATTTCTACTGTGTGTATTTGGGTTTGGTGCTTGTTGGGTGCTTGCTATAGTCCTGTTCTGGACTATAATAAAGAACATGTTCTGTCCCAGCAAGCAAGTCTCCTCGTTCTTCGCTGCTCTTGCGATGCCTTAGTCCGCCAGGTGCTACATTCTTTTATAAATTATTTGTACTTCTGTGGCCTGTTTGTTGCTTGTGTCTCATTTTGTTTCGTCAAAATTCAGTCAATTTTCCATTGTTTTTTCATGCGTAGTAAAATAAGAGGTAAGAAGACAGTAACGATCTAACAGAATACCCCTTTGTGGATGGCTTGCAGTGTCTCAATTTTAATGTGTACTTATTCATCCCTGATTCCAAATGAACCCCAATTATGGGATGGTTTTCCACATGACGTAATTTTTCCACTACAACCTTTCTTGATACAGATGGAAAACCTAAAGAAGAACCTGGAAAAGGTAGAGCAGGCCTCCGAGGTGAGCCTGCATGATTATGCCTGTTCCCCCTAGCCTGAAGCAAATTTCATCCTGTGTTACATATATGTCACTGGCACAGTGGGGCCCCATTATGCACTGAGTACTTTTATATTCCCATACTCATAACTTTTGCAGTGTCAGGAACTTATTGTGGGAAAGTGAATTTTTTCAAATTTTTTGTTCCAGCGAGGCCAACACCTTCCCCTGGCGATGGTGACAGGGGGAGGGGTCGGAGGCCTGGGGCAGGGGGGGACAAACCCCCTCCAGATGCGAATCCATTTGGCTTCCAGCTCAAGGCCGTCCCACTGAAGTTCACCAAGGATCTGAAGGACATCGTGCTGCAGGAGGCAGAGTCCATCGGCTCCTCAGCCCTGTTTGAGTGTGAGGTGTCCCCCTCCACTGCCCTTACCACCTGGATGAAGGACGGAAGCAACCTGAGGGAGAGCCCCAAGCACAAGTTCACCTCTGATGGCAAGGACCGCAAGCTGGCTATCATTGATGTGCAGCTGTCTGACCAGGGCGAGTATACCTGCGTGGCCAAGCTGGGTAATAAGGAGAAGACTTCCATCGCCAAACTCATCGTGGAAGGTAACCATAGTTCACGTTTTTTTTCATATAAAGTTCAGAAGGGATATATGCATGCAAAATATTCTTCTTAGATACTCCCTTGTGTGACTTGGTAATTAATAGGCCAGGAAGCAATGAATTTTACTTCGGGCAGCATCAGTCAGTGTTGGTGTTCTGGGCCCATATTCACAAAGCATTTTATCTTGCCACTAAGAATACTCATAAATCACACTAAAAGTTCTTAACCAAGATTTTTTTTTTCCTAAAACTTATTCACAAAGTGGCTGAGAGCAACTTTTAATTAGGAAAAAAGCAAACTCCTAAGCTAAGAGTAAGACAACGTCGCTATGGCTGATGTCAGTTCTCATGCATGAACTTTTCTGCAATAACCATGGGGAAAGGTTGATGAGAGGCCAGTGTGTGCTGATGAAAATGTACGCATAACATCCCATAAACACAAATACAGTGGAAACCGCTTATGATGATCATGGTTATAGTGATCAACTTCTTATATGGATCAAAATGCTTGGGACAGAATCATTTCTGTACAAATGCTGTTTAAATAATTTGCTTATGGTAATCAAGTATTCCACTTACAATGTTCATTTTGGGTCTTTTGAAACATGACAACAAATGGAGAAAAGTAAAACTATGTTTTTTTGTTTTTTACTTTACTTTGATCGGCCTACTTAACCTTGCGGTAACCTTCCTCCTTCTGGCTAGTTACCTGAGGCTAATGTTGTGTGCACAGATAACACGATGGGAAAAAGAAAGTCATTTTCTCACAATGACAAATATAGACTCATCAAAGCTTATGATAAACTGCCAAAACCAAGCCAACAACATGCAGCAGGGAAACTACAATAAATTATATTTTAAATACAGTACTGTATTATAGTGTATTTGAATTATACTCAGTTCAGTAATTTGAAAAGTGTTTGAAACAGCTGTACTGTATTTTGAATGAGTCAATACAATTCAATACATAGCAATGATGTCCGTTTTATTACCTTATATTCATGCACTACATGTACAAATGTCCTAGAATTACCTGTGAAATTCATGAAGACCTTGAAAGAGGAGATGACTGTTCTGAGGGGCCAGCCCTTGTATCTGACCTGTGAGCTCAACAAAGAGCGCGACGTTGTTTGGAAGAAAAATGGAGCACCTCTGGATGCCGTGCCTGGCAAGGTGGCTGTAAACGTCATTGGCATGCAACACAGTGTGACCATCCAAAACATGGGTGACGATGATATCGCCCTTTATACTTGCGAATGTGGGAGCATCAAGACGGAGGCAGACGTCAAGCTCATAGTGCAAGGTGAGCAGCCTGTATGCATACCAAAGTGGCCTGTTTGCTGCCATGTGCTTTTTCAGATGTTTCATTAACAATGTGAGGTGGAAACACAAATTCATTATTTGATGGCACATGCGCAATAATCACCAGGGCTTTTAGATGATGGGTGAAACATTTGTCCGGATGCCAGCTTTTCGGTGCTATACAGACATTTACTTACACCCACAATCTGGTAAGTAGATTAGTAATATGCCTAAAATATTAATGAGATGGGTATTGTGATGCCCATAAGTTAGTAATCAGTATAAATTCGGTGAATCCTTATGTTTATCAAATTTGATTAGCAGAGCTAACCTACCAATTTGGTTTATCATGGAAGCAATAAGCACTGGCATTGAAGAAAGGAACAGCTCAACAACCACATCTTTTGAAAGAGGAGATATCATGATTAAACAATGTAAAAAAAGATTCACGGCGGTGAATCGCGGTTTCACGGCAGTACTTTGTGTAGTTTAAAATCTCACACGTATATTAAGCATAAGGATATGCCAAATTTATACGGATTACTAATATTATAGGCACACTACTAATCTTCTTACCAAATTGTTGGCATAAGTAATCATTCGTATAGTACCGAAATGCTGGTGTTTGGACAAATGTTTCGCCCCTCATCTAAAAGCCCTGGTGATTATTGTGCATGCTGGCAATATAGTTATAATTGAGATGTGATATTGTGACAGCCCTAGTGCCACCTGTCTACTGGGAGATTATTACTAAACACACCAAAGTCATTGTTTTGTGGTTGCAGTTGATCAGTCTGAATAATTCAATCATCACATATCAGTGTTGGAACAGCCTGTGTGCATTTATGTGCAGCACTGAGACTCAGCAAAGCCTTTTCCTAACTTTTTCAGAGGTGCCACTCATGATCGTCAGCCCGCTCAGTGATGTGCAGGTGTATGAGGAAGAGGATGCCATGTTTGAGTGTGAGGTCTCCAGGGAGGCCAAGAGCTTCCGCTGGTTGAAGGAGGCTGAAGAGTTGACCGCCAGTGAGAAGTACGAGATGCTTCATGAAGGGACTAAGCACATGCTGGTGGTGAAGTCTATCACTAAGGACGATCTTGTCAAGTATGTCTTTGAAGCTGAAGGTTTGATATCCTTCGGCAGAATAGTCTCCAAAGGTAATATTAATCCTTCATGTCTGAGTCTAACACAGCTGTGATGAGGGAGCAGATGGTGCCTGACTGTCTCTAACATGTCATGTTTCAGGTATTCACCTCCGGTTCGTCACGCCCATTAAGGAGGTCACAGTCAAAGAACGCGAGACAGCAGAGTTCAAGGTCGAACTTTCTCATGCTAACATCCAGGTTACATGGTACAGAAATGATGTGCGTGTACGCCCCTCCAAAAAGATTCAAATATCAGAGGATGGCAAGATTCACACCCTGACCTTAAAAGAGGTGTGCATGGATGACACCTCACTAATCAAGGTTGAAGCCCTGGGTGTTACCTCAGAGGGCATGCTCAATGTCATCGGTTAGTAGGCAGACGGACTATTGAGTATGTGTTCTTTGATATGCTTGTGTGTGTGTATGTGTATGTGTCTATACACACACATATATATACACACTCACACTCATATATATCTATGTATTTTTATTTATATAATTGTGTGTGCATGCGTGCGTGTGTGTGGATTAGGTTTATATATATATTTCCCCATAAAGATCAGTGAATGCAATCAAAAAAGTAAAAATGTCAAAAGTCACATATTTTGTCTGGTTACTTATGGTTAAAGTTAGGGTTGGGTAGGGGTTAAAGGTGTCATGTTGAGATTAGAGTTTTCCTCCCAGAAATGAATAGAGAGTCCCCACAAAGATATAATTACAAACGTGTATGTGTGTGCCGCTTGCTGCCCCTTGCAGAGGGAGACCCCTACTTCATCACCAAGCTGCAGGACTACACGGCAGTGGAGAAGGATGAGGTTGTGCTGGTTTGTGAGCTGAGCAAGCCCGCTGCTGAGGTGAAGTGGTTTAAAGATAGCAAAGAGCTTGCACCCTCCAAGAACATTGTAATAAGATCTGAGGGGAAGAAACGCATTCTGACAATCAAGAGAGCTGAGAAGAGCAACATTGGCGAATACACATGTGACTGCATCTCAGAGAAGACCATGGCTAAGCTGAACATTGAGGGTGAGTCATGTTGGTTGCACGGCCAGAACATACCACATGTGTTACAAAGCCCAGTTTCATGCTGTTGCAGTGTACTGATCCCCCTGCATGATCATGATCACAGTTTTAATAGAAAACTGTCAGTTGTTTTCATATATATTTGAACTTGCCAGTATTCTGATGCCCTCTCTGTTCTGTCATACCATAGCGCGTGACATCAAAGTAGTCCGTCCTCTGTACAGCGTGGAAGTGACAGAGACTGAAATAGCTCGCTTCGAGGTAGAGATATCGGAAGCAGACATCCATGCTACGTGGAAGCTCAAGGGAGAGGTCCTCCACCAGTCTGCTGTAAGATGTGTAACAAGGTTCCAGACACATGTTAATATGGACCTGAGTTAAGGACAGGTGTTTTATTAATATGGACCTGTTTTTAGAAGTTTACAAAGACACAAGCTCTGGCTGGCACTTCATGCTTAATCCGTATTTTTCTAACTCAAAGGACATTGAGAAGAAGGAGGAGGGCACCCGGCACATCCTTATCCTGTACAACGTCCGCATGGACCAGGCTGGAACAGTGGATTTCCAGGCCGCTAATGCAAAGTCCAGCGCACAGCTCAGGGTCAGAGGTGAGAGGCTGATGGGGGCACGTGCCCCATTTTTAAGTGGGAGGAGGATCAGGGTTAGCCTTAGCATTGTGGGCCCATTTACACATTCAAATCAGGGTGCATCTCCTGTGAAGGTGTTCTGAATTTTCACATCTCATAAATAGTAAAAACAAGTTGGAAAAAAATTGAAATCTAAATGGTATTTTTGGGAAATTGTAGTCCTATTTTACAAAGCAAGCACAAAAATTTTACAGTTCCTGTATAAAGTTAATGTGAAGGATTATTCAGACGTGGACAAATTTGTTACCTTTCCACAAAAAACAAAATAACACAACTATCTCTGGCAATGACTGTCAACAAGCAATCTCTGTACTTCACAAAGAGACATCTGCATTTGCCAACAGGTAGTTTGGCCCACTCTTCCTGAGCAAACTGCTCAAGCAGTCTCAGGTTTGAAAGGTGGCAATTCCACACTGCAATTTTCAGATCTTTCCATAGATGTTCAATAGGATTAACATCTGGACTCATGGAGGGCCATTTAAGAATAGTCCAATGTTTTTTTTTCCTTAGCCATTCTTGAGTTCTTTTAGCTGTATGTTTTGGGTCATTATCCTGTTGGAGGACCCATGACCTGTGACTGTGGCTGAGCTTTCTAACACTGGGCAGTTTCACTCCAGGATGCCTTGGTAGTCTTGAGACGTCATTGTGCCCTGCACAGATTAAAGGTTCTTTGTGCCAGATGCAGTAAAGCAGCCTCAAAACAAAACCAAACCCCCTCCATGTTTCACAGTAGGTATAGAGTTTCATTCATCACTGTAACCACTTAATCCCAACTGCGGTTGTGGGGGGGACTGGAGCCTGTCCCAGGAACAATGGGCACAGGCAGGAACCAACCCTGGGCAGTCACCAACAGACCCACCCAATTACAGGGCCAACTTAGAGCAGCCAATTAACCTATCGTGCACACTTTTGGACTGTGGGAGGAAACCAGAGCCCCCAGCAGAAACCCACACAAACATGGGGAGAGCATAAGAACTCTACTCAGAAAAGCCCTACGCCGGGCCCAGGGACCAAACCAAAATGGACATTCTTGCTCAGAGGCAGTAGCACTAACCACTGCACCACTATGTCCCCCTGGTATGGTGTTGTTTTGTTTTAAAGCTTCATTTTTTCTTCTGTAAACATAGAGCTCATGTGACTGGCCAAGAAGCTCCAGTTTTGTCTCATAAGTCCAAAGGACATTCTCCCAGAAATTTTGGGGCTTGTCAACATGCATTTTGGCAAATTCCACTCTGGCTTTATTATGTTTTTCTGTCAATAGTGGAGCCCTCCTGGGTCTTCTTCCATGGAGTCCATTATTGTTCAAAATGTGACGAAAGTTACGATCAGAAAGTGCTGTACCTTGACCTTGGAGCACAGCTTGAATGGTTTTAGATGGTTTATTTGGCTTTTTTTTACCATTTGCACTATTCTTCTGATCAACCCAAGGTTGCATTTCCTCTTGCATCCACAACCTGGAAGGTTGGTTACAGTCCCATGAGCCTTATACTTTTAAATGATATTGGCAACTGTAGTCACTGTAGTCACATCTTCTTTCTGAGGTCCTCAGACAGCTCTCTCCTTTGCTTTCTCTGGTCCATGTTCAGTGTGGTGCACACAATGATACCAAACAACACAGCAGCATATTCTTTCCCTTTAAATAGGCTGAATGGCTGGTGAAAAGCTTGAAGGCACCTGTGATACTAATTACAGTTAAAAACTTGACTATAACGCAAGGATAAATAGTCTATTTAGGGGCACCAACAAATCTGTCCATACTATTTTAGCATATTTTTGTAAACTAAACAACAAATAATTTCTTTTCATAATTTTATTGGTTTACTCTATGACATACTAAAGGCATGCAGGTATACATTAGACAATTGCTTTTAATCGAATCACTTTTCATGAGAAATGAAGTAGTGTTTCAATGACTTGTGAAGGTACCAACAAATTTGTCCAAGTCTGCATGTTGGTGCTGCCTTTGTTAAATAGACCGGTTATGTATCCCTGTTATTGAAGTATGTTACTTTTATATTTTTTGCTTTAGAATTTTTGATAGGAGTCATTCTTGTTAGCATTATCACATTAACATTACTGTGTATTCCTGAAATGCTGCTGTTTCCACATGTGGCCTACATTATTAGTGTTTTCCTGTAACATTCTGGAGGCTTGCCTGACAGACACTGACATTTGAGCTTGGTGTCTGGAATGGGGGTGTCTGCTGTGGAATCAGGTGTTGCAGCTATTTTGGAAGCTTCATACCTTATTTAGCTTGGGGGCTTGGTGATTTGGAAGAGCAACCCCCCTTTTGGGATTTCTGCCGAGGTCACATTCCCCAGTGGTGGCCGTTGGGCACACTCACTCCCCAGCAAGCAAGCAGGCCCCAGTTTCACTCTGAGCTCACGCATACTGGCATGCACGTTTGCCGCTGCTCCTCCTTGCTGGGACTGTAACAATGTTTCCTTGTTCACGGGAAGCCCGAGCCATCAGCATGGCGCGGCCACTTAGTGATGTGACCGTCACAGCTGGGGACGTCGCCATTTTCGAATGTGAGCTGTCCTATGAAGGCATCACTGTTGAGTGGTTCCTCAGTGGCACCAAGCTGGAGCCCAGTGACAGAGTAAGTCCTCCATGGGTGGTGTTTGTGTTTAACTGATATATTGCTTAGAGGGTGATGTGTGGGTCAGCAGTTCAGGAAGAAGTGTCTGTGATCAGAAGGTTGCTGGTTCAACAGGGTCTCTAATTACCTCTACCCTGCTATTTCAAAAAAGTGTATGTTGCTTTGGATAAAAGTGTGGGCTCAATAAAATAAATGTCAATGTGGAAGAACTTTCCAGTTTGTCAGAATCTGAAAAAGTTATTATCAGTATTTGATAATAACAATTAAAGTTATATGTTTTTTGTTTTTCCCAAATCCCTATTATGTTTTAATAAATGTGTTTAATTTGCTTTAGTATGTGAAGTCCGTAGAAGGCATCTCTGTGATAAGATAACATGAAGACCCCTCCAGGGGTTATTTATAACACCTTCAAGTGTTTGTTTGTGACTAGTGTGCCATTCCAAAGACATTCTGACAGCTTTTAGTTTGCATTAGCAAAACTATTTGTCTTTTATTGTTTTATATGTATAATGCATTATTTCCCAAATAATATCAGCATTAGTATTTAAGTAAGGTTCTTCCCATGAAAAAATAATCTGCATTACCAAACTTAGACAGACTGACTGCACAACAGTTATTATGAGAAAATTTGCACCACAATCAGAATTATGGATGGTGCTTTAGGGGTACTTAAAGCATGCCACATTATTGGGCATGTAACACATGCACATTAATTAAGTAGCATGTATGTAACTTCCCCATGTGTTGCTATATTTCCTGTTTTTCTAACAATAAAATCTGTACAGGTTGTTATCCATGCAGAGGGCAAAATTTATTCATTGACCCTTAAAGATGTGGAGCTGACAGAGGCTGGGGAGGTCAAGTTGACAGCTAAGGACTTTACGGCATCGGCCAGACTTGTAGTGAACGGTGAGTCACAGTTTTAATGATGACATTGATGAGGGGAGCTGGAGCAACTTCTGGGTTTTTAATAAGATCAGAAAGACATTTAGAAAGAGGAACAGAGGAAGAACCACTTTCTTCACAAAGGTAATGTGGTAGATGCATTTGCAAAGCCTTTTAGTCATATAGCTGACCAGCAGATATCATGCTCAGTACTTAGTAATAGAGTACTTAGTAGTAGAGTAGATTTCTAACTTCCTGAGTGTGATTAGAAATCTCTGAAAGTAACTATAAGTGAGGTGCTAAATTTAAACTAAATCATAAAACAAATTAGCTCAACAAATGGGCTAAACTGTAACATTCAGTCAATGCAAACACACATATACATTCAGCTGAGCTTTTTCAGGTTATGCGCAGAAAGCAGGCAAACTCCACACACACTCATGAGAGGGCAACATCAATGAAGCTTCCTACTCATCTGACTCCACAGAACCGGCAGTTCGGTTCACTAAACTTTTGGAGGACCAGACTGTGGAGGAGGAAGCAACTGCCACCTTGGAGTGTGAAGTATCCCGAGAAAATGCCAAGGTCACATGGCTAAGAGACGGTCAGGAGATACGCAAGACTAAGAAGCACGAAATTGTTGTCGAGGGCAGAAAGAGAAGACTCATCATCCTAGAATGCACGCTGGAGGATTCTAAAACATACACGTGTGACTCCAAAGACTTCAAGACATCTGCTTTCCTAAATGTAGAGCGTAAGTAAATAAAGGAGCAGCTGGTGATGTTTGGATTTTGGATCACTGTGTTGTTGACAATGTGTTGCTTTTACCTCAGCTCCACACATTGAATTCTCAAAGCCTCTTCGTGACGTTGAGGTTAAGGAGAAGGAATCTGCCAGATTTGAATGTGAAGTTTCCCGTGAAAATGCGAAGGTATGTGAGGTTTTGCATTCCTGATGGGGACTGTTAATATCTGTTTTACTTCATGTTTAGTTTATCAAATTGTGAGGTAGATTCAAGCTCAGCATGTGGTTTATCTGGCTCATCATTCATAATTTTGCATTTCCCTGTTCTAAAAGGTAAGCTGGTTGAAAGATGGCTGTGAAATAAGGAAGAGCAAGAAGTATGAGATCATCGCCAAGGGCTTCCAGCACATCCTCATCATCAATAAGTCCAGCTTCGATGACGAAGCCGAGTATGAGTGTAATGCCAGGATGGCAAAATCCTCGGGCATGCTCACTGTTGTTGGTGCGTTTTCATTGTCGGTCTTCATTTGCTTTCACAGATTTACCAGACCTTTTCATCCCTGTTCAGATTTATTTTTCTTCTTCTTTAACATTATGTCCAGACCAAATTACAATGACACATTTTCTGTACAGAGGAAGAAACATCATTTGTAAAGAACCTGGTCAATGTGGAGGGAACAGAATCCGACAGCGTGAAGATGATCTGCGAGGTCTCCAAGGCCAGTGCAGATGTCACATGGTACAAAGGAGAGAAGGAGCTGCTGGAGGGTGGCAGGTACGAGCATATCGTCGATGGCCGCAAGAGGATCCTTCATATCAAGAACCTCTGCATGGACGACGCTGGAGCATACAGTTGCCAATTGCCAGCCTCAAAAACGGCAGCAACACTCCGGATTAATGGTATACAACAATGCACCTTAAAGGCACTTTTTGTTAATAACATTATTTCAGTTGTTTAAATGTTAGCCTTTATATTGTTTCCTGGCCTGTCAGTGCTGGTTCAACTCCAAAAAAGACAATCTTCTATTGTACAAGTTTAATCCGAACAAATCCAGAAAATATGTCAGCTCCTTAAATGTGTTAAACAGTAATTTACTTATCTGGACTTAAACACATTATACCTTGCAATAGTTATTTCAATTTAGTGGCTGTGCTTTAACTCTAATTAGCAAGCGAACAAAGTTATAATACAGGTATATCGTCCTCTGCCCCAAACCCTGAGCCTCCAGCCTGAAACCTGCTGACTGACCTTCTACTGATGTTCTGCACCTCTTAGAACTGGCAGCAGAATTTACTTCAAAGCCCCAGAGCCAGAGAGCCATTGAAGGTGAAAAGGCAGAATTTAGCTGCATTGTTACCAAGGAAACACAGGAAGTCAGGTGGCTTAGGGGTGAGGTGGAGCTTACAGTGGGAGACAAGTACAACATCATCAGTGACGGCAAGAGGAAGATGCTCATTATAAAGGACTGTACTCTTGATGACAAAGGACCCTATGTTGCTCTTGTGGGTTCCACCAGAGCTACCGCTGAATTGACTGTGATTGGTATGTATTGCTGTCCTGGTTTCTTTTTTCAGTGTTAGTTACTGCTGATTCAAAATGTAAAAATAATGTGTTTATATGTGAACAGAAAAACTGAAGGTAATGACACAGATAAAAGACACACAGGCTACAGAAGGACAGGAAGTCATGTTTAACTGTGAAGTCAATGCCGAGGGGGCCAAAGCAAAATGGCTCAAGAACGAGGAGACCCTGTTTGAGAGCAGCAAGTTCATCATGTTCCAGAAGGACACCGTTTTCTCTCTGAGAATCAGAGATGCTCAGAAGTCAGATGAAGCCCAATATAGCATCATATTGACCAATCAGCGTGGAGAAATTGCTAAGAGCTCTGCCAATCTTGTTGTACAAGGTAAATATGCCAATGATTCTGTTCCAGTAGCCAGCATCTCAGATATTTGGGTTCAAATAATACATCACTTATTTTAATCTATAGCTGAAGAGTTGAGGTTCATTGAACCTCTTGAGGATTGTGAAACCCAAGAGAAGAAGACAGTGAGCTTTACCTGCAAGGTGAACAGAACTAATGTAACTGTAAAATGGATGAAGGGCAACCAGGAGATCACCTTCAGCAAGCGAGTTGTTTATAGGGTCGACAAGAATAAGCACACATTGACCATCAGGGACTGCAGCATGGAGGATGAGGGTGAGTATTGTGCAGTTGCTGGATCTGACAAGTCCACCGCAGAGCTCATCATCAGCGAGGCTCCCCCTGACTTCTCTGGGCGGCTAATGGACCAGACTGTCACAGAGTTTGAGGATGCAGAATTTACGTGTGAACTTTCCAAGGAGAAAGCTGACGTCAAGTGGTTCAGGAGTGGCCGGACGATCCGTGAGGGACCCAGGTAAGATCTTGTCATGTGATTCTGTAGCAATATACATATAAGCACTTGTGTTGAGTTGATAATGTAATCATTTTTCCTCTGTTCTTTTTTTAAGGTATCATATTGAGAAGGAGGGCAAGATGTGCAGACTGATCATAAAGGCTTGCCGACCAGATGATGAGTGTGAATATGCTTGTGCCGTGGGCGAGATGCGTACCCGTGCCAGGCTCTTTATTGAAGGCAAGCTTCCAAGGACCACATTCATAGTTTTAAGGATTTGTTTGTGTTAGTATTTCAGTTCAAAAACACCTATATTATGTTCCAGAAATCCCAGTTGAAATCATCAAACCTCCCACCGATGTATTTGAACGTCCTGGTTCAGACGCCATGTTTGAAGTCGAGCTGAACAAGGACAGAGTTGAAGTTAAATGGCTGAGAAACAACATGGTCATTGTTCAGGGTGACAAATATCAAATGATCAATGAGAACAAAGTTCACAGGCTTCAAGTATGTGAAATCAGGCCCCGGGACCAGGGGGAATACAGAGTCCTGGCTAAGGATAAGGATGGGAGGGCAAAGCTGGAGCTAGCAGGTACTCAAGGCCTTCATTTGTGTGGTGCGTGGCAATGCACTTGCACAGTCAGTACCTATTTATGTATTTATTTGCTTGATTACTCTAGCTGCACCAAAGTTCAAGACAACTGATCAGAACCTGGTGACGGATGCTGGAAAGCTTTTTGTCATGGCAGTCCCTTTCGACGCTTATCCCCGGGCGGAGGCTGAGTGGATCTTTGGTGACATCAGTTTACCTAGGCAGAACATTGACACATCTACTGACAAGACGGAGTATAGGCTGAAAGAACCAAAGAAGTCTGACCAAGGCCAATACAAGATTGTCATTCAGAATAAACATGGAAAGGGAGAGGCCTACATAAACTTAGACATCATCGGTAAGACAGCAGTTTTCTTAATAATAATGCCAATGATCATTTCATGCAGACTTTCATTCTTCAATGAATAATTGATATTTTATGTCATTTGTAGATGTTCCTGGACCTGTGAAGAACATGGATGTTGTAGACACTGCCGATGGTGAAGTCAGCCTTACATGGGAGGAACCAGAGAGTGATGGCGGTACCAAGATCATAGCATATGTAGTGGAAAGGCGAGAAATCAAACGCAAAACATGGACACTAGCAACAGACCGTGCTGATGCCCTTGAGTATTGTGTTGGTGGACTACAGAGGGACAACCTGTACTTATTCCGTGTCAGTGCCCGCAACCGGGTGGGCAGCGGACAGGCTGTGGAGACTGACAAGCCTGTCCAAGCCAAGAACAAGTTTGGTAGGTACAGCATGAAGCTCCCATTGTTCTATTTAGAGATGCTTGTAAAGAAGATGGGCTTGGTTATTATTGAGGTACCTGTCCATATATTTCAGATGTTCCTGAGGCACCACAGAATGTCTCTGTGGGAAATGTGAACAGATATGGTGCCACAGTGTCCTGGGAGCCCCCAGAATCTGACGGAGGCTCAGAAATCACAGACTATGTAATAGAGTTCCGTGATAGGACATCAGTGAGATGGGAGGTGGCTCTGGTGACCAAGGCAAAGGACTGCAGTGCAGTCCTCAGTGATGTCATTGAGAATAAGGAATATATTTTCCGGGTCAAAGCTGAAAATAAGGCTGGAATCGGAAAGCCAAGTGTTGCAACCTCTCCAGTGAAGATAATGGACCCCATTGGTTTGTTGCATTTACTTTTAAACTGTAAAATGAAATGTGTATAAAAATGCAACATTAATTTTATTCCACGTCTTTCAGAGAGGCCAAGCCCACCACTGAATATGGAATACTCCAACCAGAACAGGACTTCCATCATACTGACTTGGGAGACACCCCTCAGTAATGGAGGAAGCCCCATTACTGGTTACATCATTGAGAAATGTGAGGATGGCAGTGAGAACTGGTTCAGGTGTAATGCCAGGCTCTGCCAGGACCTCACCTACAAGGTCAGTCTGCTGCCCTGTAAGCCAAAGGCAAAAGTGAAATATTCATCATGTATAAGCTGTGTATATTAAAATAAACATCAATTTATGCAGTAAATGTCACAGTAAAATATCTAATTTTAAAATGGCTAGAAGGTGAAGCAGAAATTTGAGGTAAATGACACTTAAATGTTTTAAATCTTGCTTAGGTGACAGGGTTGAAACATGGACTGAATTATCACTACAGAGTATCTGCTGAAAATTCAGCTGGACTTTCTGATCCACATGAGAAGATTGGGCCACTGCTGGCCGACGATCCCCATGGTGGGTGGCTGCATTTCAGATCACCATACATATATGAACATTTGCTAACGCTTTACATTAACTGCACCCTCATCATGACTTTATAATGCATTCGTAGAACATTCAGTGTACCTTCATAATGCATTTGTAAAACATTCATAAGCAACATGTAAGTATATCTTAACATGCTAACGTACTTTAATATACATTAATAAACAATAAGGCTTTACATTAACTGAAACTTCATAATACCATTATAATGCATTCATAGAACATTTATTGCACCTTCATAATGCATAGAACACTCCTAAGCAGCATGTAAATGTACCACAACATCCTAACATAAGTTAACAGTTTTAATGTACATTAATAACGAACATTATATGATAATAACAAACTTTATAATCGTATAATGTTTACCATTAATGTATATTGAAGTTGTTGAGGTATGTTAGGATAAGGTGTACTTACATGCTGCCTATGAATGTTCTACGAATGCATTATAAATGCATTATGAAGGTGCACTGAATGTTCTATGAATCTATAATGAAGGCATTATGAGGGTGCAGTTAATGTAAAGCATTACCGAACATTTATTAGGAGCAGATGGGATGCTAAGCAGTCAAAAAGGATTTGGAATAGAAAGGTTAAAATGTGATATACAGGGTGGGGTAGTACTCCTGTTTCTTGCATATAATAAAGAATGAATCTGATTCTATGTAGCATAATTTAAATAAGCTAATTCATATACTGAATTCATTCACAGTTGCACCTAGTCTTGAACTTGATGCCTTTAAAAATGGTCTGGAGGTCATTGTCCCCAACCCTGTTGCAATCCGGATCCCTATCACTGGCTATCCCTTGCCCATGGCCAAATGGAGCGTAGGGGACAAGGGGCTGACAGCCGGAGATCGTGTGTCCATGGGCACCAAGCACAAGACCACAGAGCTCATCATCACCCCCAGCTCACGGCAGGACAAGGGCACGTACACTGTGTACCTGGAGAATGATGTCTCCTCGGCCTCTGGTGAAATTGAAGTCAATGTCATTGGTGAGTGATACAGTGGAAAGTGACTAATGGAACCTTTAACAGTCTCCATTTCTGTCCCAGAAGGTTCATTTTTCTTATGTTTGTGTTTGTGCAGCATCCCCAAGTTCACCCAGAGACTTCAAGGTGTCAGAGGTATCCAGGCAGCATGTACACTTAATGTGGGAAGCTCCTGAACATGAGGGAGGAAGTCCAGTGATGTACTACCATGTAGAAAAGCGCGAGGTTTCCCGTAAGACCTGGGTCAAGGTATGAATCAGTGTTTCAGACTTGAAATAAATAAGATTAAAATAAAGATAAGATTCAGCTAATTGTATGTATGTTTTGTACACATAGCATACTTAGACAATAGGTAACACAAATGCCTGTAAATCTGCAAACTAAGTTATGAAAACATGAAGCTTCACAGTACAGCAGAGATATAAACTCAAAGAGGAAAACTGGCCCTTTCTCTAAGGTTGCCAGTGGTGTTGAGGACCTGGAGTATACCGTCACAGAGGTTGTCGAAGGCAAAGAGTATTTGTTTAGTGTGGCTGCCTACAACAGATGTGGTCCTGGAGAACCTGCTTACCTTGAGGAGCCAGTGAATGTGTCCTCTCCAGCTAGTGAGTAAAAGGAGGGCTGGCCTGTTCTGTTGGGTGGATAGTGGCTGCTGATACGATCTGTTCCTAAATTCAATCTCTCCCATTGCAGCTGTGCCAGAACCGCCGGAGAACCTGAAATGGAGAGACAAATCAGCCACAGGGATCTGTTTGCTCTGGGAGCCCCCAAGATATGATGGAGGTGCTGCGATCAAGGGCTATGTTGTAGACAAGTGCCAGCGTGGCACGGATAAATGGGAACCTTGTGGAGATGCTGTGTCTGATCTCAAGTAAGCTATTATAGGAGGGGGGGGTTACACTAGTTAACACTAGTTAACAATGTAATATGTTTACATAGTTATTGTGTTGCATGATGATGTTTTTCTCATTGACAGCAATCATTTTCACATATTAAAGTTACTTGAACTTGAAAGGTGTGTAAAGTCCATGTAGTAAACTGCTGCGGGTGGTGGCTTCGAATGGAATTTATAACTGCTGCAGTATTCTAACTGAACTCGAAACTATTATTATTCCTCCAAGGTACCAGGTGACTGGTCTCAAAGAGGACCAGTGGTATGCTTACCGCGTCAGAGCTTCAAACAGACTGGGCGCTGGCAGACCCTCCCGGGCCACGGATGAAGTGCAGGCCGTGGACCCGATTGGTACGTTTCTTCTTGATCTTCTCTTCGAGTCACATGTTGGTTTATTGGTATTTCATGTATGGGGGTAATCCAGCATTCATCACACTCTACAGAGCCCCCAGAGATCCAGCTGGATGTGAAGCTGCTTGCTGGCTTGACTGCCAGGGCTGGATCCAAGATAGAGTTGCCTGTTAAGGTGCTTGGAAAGCCAGAACCCAAAATCACATGGACTAAAGCTGACCTTGTACTGAAACCAGATGACAGAATCTCTATTGAGGCAAACCTTGGGCAGTCCATACTGTCTGTGGCTAAAACTCAGAGAGAAGACACAGCTACATACATCGTAGAGGCTGTGAACAGCAGTGGTCGTGCCACTGCGACAGTTGAAGTCAACATACTTGGTAAGGTCTCTCTTGTCCAGATAATAGACAAATTTATAGTAACTACAAATGTATAATATAGTTTTTCAGATGGTGAACAGTAGAGTCGTTTTTGTTTTTCCTAAAGTGATGCATCTCCTTTTTGGTCTAAACAGACAAACCAGGCCCCCCAGCTGCCTTTGATATCTCAGATATCACAAATGAATCCTGTGTTTTGGCCTGGAATGCTCCTCGAGATGATGGTGGCTCTGATGTCACTAATTACATTGTTGAGAAGAGGCTTTCTGAAAGTGATGAGTGGCAAAAACTGTCTTCTACCATCAAACAAACCACATTCAAAGCCTCCAAACTGATGTCCCTAAAGGAGTATGTCTTCAGAGTGTTTGCTGAGAACCAGTATGGCATAGGTGTCCCAGCTGAACATGTGCCTGTTGTTGCCAAATATTCTTTTGGTAAGTTTCTTTGAAAGCAGATGTAGTTCAACTGTGATATTTTATGGACTGTTACCTTGATCATGATCGTGGTTATGTGACATTGTTTTCAGATACTCCTGGTGCTCCCAGTAGGGTGGAGGCATCTGATATAGCCAAAGATGCAGTGACACTGAAGTGGTATGAACCTGATGAGGATGGTGGAAGTCCAGTTACCGGATACTGGGTTGAGAGGTTTGACACAGAAACTGACAAGTGGATCAGATGTAACAAGCTGCCAGTGCTAGATATTACCTTCAGGTGAGAATAGAAAAATGTTAGCTGATGAAGGGGTTCTTGGACAATTTCCATGTTATATCTGACCAAAATATTTTACAGGGTGAAAGGGCTTCCGACCAAAAAGAAATACAGGTTCCGGATCTTAGCTGAGAATCTTGCTGGAGCTGGGAAACCGAGCAAGGAAACTGACCCAATTTTAGTGAAGAACCCTATAGGTAAGATAAAGATCTTTTCAGCCATTTTTCTTCTGAAAGACATACATACAAAAGCACAATATGAGCCCTTTGTTGTTGCAGATCCTCCTTGGGCACCTGGTCGACCATTTATTAAAGACATTGGTAAGACCTCTGCCTTGTTGCAATGGAACAAGCCAGAACATGATGGGGGGGCCAAAATCGAGTCTTATGTGATTGAGCTGCTGAAGAGTGGAACTGAGGAATGGGTTCGTGTGGCCGAGGATGCGACCACAACGGAGTACCTTCTGGAGGGTCTGATGGAGAAGCAGGAGTACTCCTTCAGGGTCAAGGCCGTGAACAAGACAGGAGAGAGTGAGCCCAGTGACCCCAGTGACCCGGTCATTTGCAAAGAGAGACTCTGTGAGTCACAGAGACCTGTCTGTCTCTTCACTGGCACTGTGGAAAACCCAGTGATTAAAATATTGCTTTTCCCTTTTTTGTTCATCAGATCCCCCTGCACCCCCGCGCTGGCTTGAGGTGGTTAATGTTACTAAGATAAGTGCTGAGCTGAAGTGGGCCACTCCAGATACAGATGGTGGCTCTTCTGTGACCAACTATGTTGTGGAGAAGAGAGATGTGAGACGCAAGGCCTGGCAGACGGTGGACACCACTGTGAAGGACCTGAAATATACAGTGACGCCACTGACTGAAGGCTCCCTCTATATCTTCCGCGTGGCTGCAGAGAATGCTGCAGGCCAGAGTGAATTCAACGAACTAGAAGATTCCATCCTCGCCAAGGACACCTTCAGTAAGGTTTTTTTTGTGTCTTTGTGCCTGGCTACTGTGATATCTCGATGAACAGTACTGTTGCTCAGTGTTCTACTCTGCAGCTACACCTGGGCCACCATATGCTCTGACTGTGCTGGAGGTGACCAAGAGGCATGTGGATCTGAAATGGGAAGCTCCCAAGAATGACGGTGGCAGACACATAACAAAGTACGTTTTACGAAAAAACTTGCATGTGCATGTGCTCTGCATATTGTTGATTGATTAAAATTTTTTATATTGTTCCATCTTTAGCATTTTTAATTGCTTCGACTCGCATATCTGTATGTAGGTATGTTATTGAAAAGAAAGAGAAAATGGCCACACGGTGGGTAAAAGCTGGGAAAACAGCAGGGCCTGAGCGTACGTACCAGGTGACAGATGTTGCTGAGGGAACAGAGGTACAGTTCCAAGTTTGCGCAGAGAATGAAGCTGGTGTCGGGCACCCCAGTGAGCCAACTGACATCCTTACGATTGAGGACCCCACAAGTAAGTCATGCATCCTTTTCATCCTCAGCACTTGGTTCATTATTATACAAGGATAATTCTTATGCAAGCCATTTTTGTTAGCTGATTATATTTACCTGATGAATAATGTATGAATTGATTGATTTTGGTTTTGGTAAATTTTTGGCCATTATTATATTGGATTGCTCAGGCCCACCATCTCCTCCACTGAACCTGAAAATCACTGATGCTAGTCGGCACCATATTTCGATCACCTGGAAGCTGCCAGAAAAGACTGGAGGCAACCCCATCCTGGGCTATCACATTGAGCTGGCAGAAGCTGGAACAGAGAAGTGGATGAGAGTCAGTACCCGTCCTGTAAAGGAACTGCACTACAGGGCAGAGGAGGGCATCATCCCAGAGAAGAAATATGTCACAAGAGTTCGTGCAATCAATGCCACTGGTGTCAGTGACCCCTCAGAGATCTCTGACAGCGTGTTTGCCAAAGACCCTGATAGTAAGCAATTGTCTGAATGTTTTGTAAATAAACGGGCCTGGTGCTTATCAGGTTAGGTAATAGATAACAGGCTAGCTAATCGGTTATTTGCCATTTGTACAAGTACAGGTACATTGGAATGCATCTCTTCACATATCCCATCTTTCTCTCCTTTGAGACATACACACATATATACATTTGAGAGCCTTGATTTTTGCACACTAAATTAGGCCATTTATCCGGCACCCCAGGAGCGTTTTTTCAAGGAACTGAGCGCCTTGCTTAAGGACCCAACAAAGATATAACTATTCTGCTGAGGTTGGAGTTTGAACTAGAGACCTTCTAATTATGGAAATAGAGGCTTAACCTGCTGAGTAACACACTGCCCAGGTTACCTGATTTATTATGGGTCAACTAATGGATTACTACCCAGGGAGATCCTACTTCTGGATCCTTGAGTAAAATACTAAAATTACTGATAGAATGTTATGTTAAAAAATGTCTTGTGTTTTACCTCCTAAAGGCATTCCTACTCTTGATCTGCTGACCCAAGACATTGTGCTGGTTGAGGGTGAGAAAATACAGCTGAATGTCCCATACAAGGCTGTGCCAAAACCCAGCTGGTTCTGGCAGAAGGACAGCGCAGAATTAAAGGGTGACGACAAAGTTGCTCTGAGCTGTGAACTTACCGCAGCTCATATTGAGATTGCTAAATGTGCACCCTCAGATGCTGGGGTATACACTGTGACTCTGGAGAACCATCTTGGATCAGTCACTGGAACTGTCAATGTCAAAGTCATAGGTACTGTGTGTTGTTAATATGAATCCGCATGATTTCAGTGGTTTATTGTCCAGAAGAAAGTACCAACAATGCATAAAACATTCTATTATTAATTGGCAGGCCTACCAGGACAGTGTGGAGAAATAGTTGCAAGCGATATCACCAAGAATTCTTGCAAGCTCTCCTGGAAGCCTCCAGAGCACGATGGAGGAACACCCATTCTCCACTATGTTGTGGAACGCAGAGAAGCCAGCAAGAAGACTTATGTCCCCGTGATATCTGCAGAGAAAGAAACAAGCTGCATGGTTGTTGACCTGCTCTTTAATTTGCAATACTACTTCAGGGTCAAAGCTGTGAATAAAGTTGGAGTTGGGGAGTATACCGAGATTCGCAACCCTGTGATCATAGAAGAGCAGAAGCGTGAGTAATTGGAGTGCTACTGTTGCATTATTAAAAGTAATGAAGGGTATAGAACGAGTTCAGAATTCTGTGTATTACTTGAAATCTTTCAGAGCCACCAGATCCACCCGTTAACATTGAAGCCCATGACCCCAGCTCTCAGTCCGTCACTTTGACTTGGCAAGCACCAGAGAGTGATGGTGGCTGCACCATCATGGGATACATTTTGGAGAAGATTGAAAAGGATGGAGACAGGTTTGAGAGATGCAATGAGGACCCAGTACCTGGATTTTCTTTTGTCCTGAAGGGCTTGAATGAGGGGAAGGAGTACCAGTTCCGGGTCCGTGCTGAGAATACCTGTGGACTCAGTGACCCATCCCACAGTACTCCGCTTGTAAAAGCTGCTGACCCAGTGGGTGAGTGGCATTTGAAATAACAGTAATGAAAGTCATTCAGCCAGACAATTAACCCTTTCAACCCTATCCATTTTTGAGTGTTTTTCTGTCACTTTAATTTTAATTTACTACATGATATGTACATGAGGTATGTACATATGCTGTATGTTTTTGTTTTCAGGACATTCTGAGCTACTCAGATATGTAAAAGTTTGATGTGTAAATGCTGACACAGTCTTAATATCAATTTTATTTGCATCCAATATAAAAAGTTGCAGGCACTTTGAATATAATACAGTAAAACCTTGGATTGTGAGTAACTTGGTTTGTGAGTGTTTTGCAAGACAAGCAAAAATTTTTAATAAATTTTAACTTGATAAATGAGCGAGGTCTTGCAATACGAGTGTTACATACAGTCATGGCCAAAATTATTGGAATCCCCTGGAATTTTTCCAGAAAATGCACCATTTCTCCCAGAAAACTGTTACAATTAAAAATGTTTTCGTATACACGTTTATTTCCTTTATGTACATTGGAACATCACAAAAAACTGAGAAAAAAAGCCAAATTTGACATAATTTCACACAAAACTCAAAAAATGGGCTGGACAAAATTATTGGCACCTTCAACTTATATTTGGTTGCACACCCTTTGGAAAAAATAACTGAAATCAATCTCTTCCAATAACTATCAACAAGCTTGTTACATCTCTCAACTGGAATTTTCGACCACTCTTCTTTTGCAAACTGCTCAAGGTCTCTCGATTTGAAGGGTGCCTTCTCCCAACAGCAATTTTGAAATCTCTCCGTAAGTGTTCAATCGGATTTAGATCCAAACTCATTGCTGACAACTTCAGAACTCTCCAGCGCTTTGTCTTTAACCATTTCTGGGTGCTTTTAGAGGTATTTTTGGGGTCATTGGAACACCCATGACCTCTGACGCAGACCCAGCTTTCTGAAACTGGACCCTACATTGCACCCCAAAATCTTTTAGTAGTCTTCAGATTTCATGATGACTTGTACACAGTCAAGGCATCCAGTGTCAGAGGCAGCAAAACACCCCCAAAACATTTTAGAACCTCCACCATGTTTGACTGTAGGTACTGTGATCTTTTCTTTGTAGGTCTCATTCCATTTTCTGTAAACAGTGGAATGATTAGCTTTACCAAAAAGCTCTACCTTGGTCTCATCTGTCCACAAGACATTCTCCCATAAAGATTTTGGCGTCCTGAAGTACATTTTGGCAAACTCCTGTTTGGCTTTTTTATGTTTCTGTGTCAGCAGTGGGGTCCTCCTGGGTCTCCTGCCATAGCGTTTCATTTCGTTCAGATGTCGACGGATAGTTCGAGCTGACACTGTTGTACCCTGAGTCTGCAGAACAGCTTGAATTTCTTTAGATGTTGATTGGGGCTGTTTATCCACCATTTGAACTATCGTCCGTTGCAGTCTTTTACCGTTGCAGTCCACGTCCAGGGAGATTAGTTATAGTGCAATGTGTTGGGAACTTCTTGATTATGTTTCGTACAGTGGACAAAGGAACATGAAGATCTCTGGAGATGGACTTGTAGTCTTGAGATTGTTGATATTTTTCCAGAATTTTTGTTCTCAAGTCCTCAGACAATTGCAGTTTAATTGGCTTCAGGTATGATTGCTATATTGCCAGCACCTGTTTCTCAGTTCAAACGAGCTCATATGCTTGAAATAAAATGATTTACCCACAATTTTGAAAAGGTGCCTATAATTTTGTCCAGCCCATTTTTGGAGTTCTGTTTGAAATGATGTCAAATTTGGCTTTTTTTCTCAGTGTTTTGTGTTGATCCAATGCACATAAAGGAAATAAACATGTGTATACGAAAACATTTGTAATTGCAACAATTAGAAGAAATGGTGCATTTTCTGGAAAAATTCTAGGGGAGCCGATAATTTCAGCCATTACTGCATACGCTTTATGCTGAGCGTCACGTGATCACAACTAAGCCGATGCTTCTTCTCTCTCTCACGCTGTGGGATTGTGGGTAATTGTTTTCCATGCTTGGTTGGCGTGCGTCACTCGTATAGTCAAAATTTAGTAGAAAAGCACAACCCGAATAAGGGCGTAGCAGTGCGAGTGATGTAGCTGTTTAAAGAAAATGTAATGTCACATTTCCACAAAATCGAAAAGGAGGCAAAAGCTGCTGTCATTGGATAGGTTCCTTGTTAAAATCGTACAAAAAGAAAAAGATTCCAGTTAACCAACAGATAGCAGTGATTCCGTTAATTATAGTGAAAGTCATCCTACAAAATAACCCTCCTCCTCTCCTCTCTTTCGTCTCCCTCACACCATCCACAATTCTTTTCAAAGGTAAAGTGCAAGTTAATTTGTTTTATGTATTTTTACTTTTTATACTACAAGGGATGAAACACACTGACAGGGGATTGGTTGTGCGCAAGGATTGCTGGAATTGCTGCGAGAGAGTGGTGTTGAGCTGCAGCGATTGTTTGGGATTGTTTTTTGGAGTGTTTTGAACGTATTTTGAACGTATATTTTGAGTGTTTGTGTGCTTTACCTGTTTACGTGGGAGGCTGTTTTATTTCTATTTATTGTTCTTATTTCGGTCAGCGTGAGTGCTTGTCTGTCCTGTCTGTTAATTAACAGCGCGATTATTACCGACAGTGAGCTGCGGGTGTCGTGTGAGCGGCGTTTTCTGTCCGCGTTTAACTCCGTAACAAACACCTGCAGGGCAATAATGACTAAAAATATCTAACGTCGGTATCGTTACCCAGCGCCGGAAAAGGACAGTTGCTCCTGAGCTTTGCTCGGTGGCCAGTCGGGGCCGGGATGACATTTTCCACTTTTTTCCTGCTCCGGCAGTAGCCTGCTGTGAGGGGGTTTTTGTGGTTTTTCGACCTCCCAAGAGCAACTTCGATTTCGCTTTGTTTTTAGTTTATACTTGGTTCAGGCAGAAGTCCTTCTGGTAAGTAGTAGTAAATTTATCAGGTTTAAAATTTTTAATAAAAATAATAATTAAGTTCTGTTTTAACACAAGTAATAACTTATTTTAGTGTACTCTGCACTTTACCGCATTTATCGTTACGCAAATTAATCTTTATAGTTAAATACACTATATAAATTTACTGGGCTGGGAGTACGGGGTCATAGTAAGTTAGTTAATTATGGGGCCGGCTCAGTGTTGCGTTTGCAAGATGTTTGCCCTTCTGGACGTTAGTGTCCAGTTGGACTTCATCTGGGAGCGATGTAAGCTAGTGGACTCACTCATGGTCAAGGTTCGCGACCTTGAGGAGCAATGGCTCTCATCCAATGCAACAGTGAGTTAGAGGAGCTAGTTACAGTATTACGCCGTTTAGGGAGATGGTGTGTACGCCACTAGTGGGGAGGAGGGAGAATGAAGAGCAGAGAGGTCGAGAGAGCTGGGTGACCATAGGTTGTAGACGCAGGAAAAGGCGTACACATGTTACAGAGGAGGCATCACCTGAGGTGTCTGTTTCTAACAGGTTTCAGGTG